CCTAGTGATGGACTGGCATCCCTTCCAGGGGAGAGTAGTAATTCTGCTAGTCATGTCATGCTACAAGGAAACTGGGATGAGCTCCGGCCGGATGGGTCACGTGGCTCGAATGCAGACGTTACCTTTTCACTGATACCTTTGGTTTAGTTGGACCATATAGATATGTCTCTTCTTTAACTAAAAATGTTTTAAGTAAACGGCATGGTAGAAGCGTAGGGCAGTTTCCATTCGTTTCCAGCAATGACTTTTCGCCATGTGGGTTTCAAAAAAACGAATTTAAGAGCGGGCATGCATAATCATTGTCTCTATGGACGTCATCTGACCTCACCATCAAGCGTTTACTTATTATATTACAATTCGCTCTTTTCACGCAAGTTACGAGTAGCATCTTGTGGTATTTGTACTGATATAAAGTTTTTTTCTTGTCCTTTTCTTCTTCAAAACAGATGAGTCAAATTTCAACCAACCTCACTACAAACGAAAGAATCAACAAGAAGCGATACGCGTATCTGAGAGGACCGTCTGGAATCTTTTTGAACCCTTTTGATAGAGGATGTCTCAAAAATTGGTTGGAGTATTTTCACTGGGTGGAACCATTCGACAAGAAACCAAACCTCCTTTACAATGTATAACAGGGCTGGCCACTGGATTATGAAAAAAAAAACTTTGTTACCATCCATCTGAGGTCGTAGCGCATAAAATGGCTGGATTTTTTTAACGACACAACTTCTGTAGATTTCTATCCTGAATTCGATTTATGGTTTAAGCAGTCTCAGCCTACAGTGGCATGGGCTAACGCTTGGGTATATACGCTTGGTATTCAGTCTCTGTTAAGATGTTGGTCGACAGATGTTAATGTATAAAAGAGGAACATAATTTTCTACCCAGAGCCATGAGCAGGTCACGATAACTACAAAGAACATAAATTTCACGGAGCTTGAACCCAAAATTAGAGATATAAACAACAGATATTTATTCGTCACGAATGGCGGCCACAAGCGGCCTTCAAAACTCGTCATATTACATTCGAAAGGCTGAAGATCAATGGAATACTAACTTTTGGTATTTTGTTCCACAAAGAGCTGAGACTGAAAATAATATAATATTTGAATTTGAGATTATTTTATTTTCAAGAGTTAGAGCGCACACAGTACGTTAGTATGAGACCAGCTAGAATTTGCGCAATTTTATACAATAGAGATAGTGGTTTCTGCTGTTCTGACCTTTTAAGAGAAAGATAGGAACTGAAGTGAAAAGATTACTAAATTTCATTAAGTTAGTATTTGATTGGAAATCAATATGTGAAAACAAAGTTGGTACTAGGTTTAATTGTCTAGTGATGATAACTATTTGATTTATTGATGTTCAAATGAGTCCGTGATCAACCACACTAATGAAAACGCTTTGAAAACTGGGTTAAGAAATTTATATGAAATATTGCGGTTGTGTTGCGTTAGTGGGATGTTGCGTGGTTAATTTTCTCGTAGGCAAACACGAACGTGATGCCACTATATTCACCAGTCCTCCTGTCTGTCATTAGGAAAGGTGTAAGTGGCTGCATGTCAAGAGAATAAGCGCCCGTGCGACGCGCCAGTCAAATGCTCTCCGCGCCGATGGCGCAGTGGCATGAGCGTTTGTGTTCCAGTACGGTGGCTCGGTTCGATTATCGAACCTAGTGTGTTAGTTGAATTTTTCGCTGATTTTTTGGCCTTGTTCCGTTCACTTCTTCACGGGTGCTCTAGCATTCTCCCTCTTTAAAAACCGACTAGTTAAATAAAATGTCGCCTTGATGCACACATGCCCTCAAACGAAATCTTGATTCTTTTGGCGTCACGTAGAAAAACAAACTACTTTGTCGGCGCAGGGCGTTCTTTGAAGAGATGCTTCAGAGCACCCTTGTCTGAAAATTGGGATGTATATGTCTCCCTCGGTCTTCAAGAGTTATCTACTGATCGGGTTTAAAAGAGACGGTAAATGTGTCTGGATTGCCCTTTAGTTTCGAAATTTGTTGGTTGTGGTGTACTTTTTCACACTGAAAATGAAAAAGAAAAACTTAGCCAAGAAAATGTGCTGTACATCCTGCTTCCGCGTTCATTTATTTTAAGAAAAACCATTAATTTCACATGATAATGGGGATTATGTTTCCTTTTAGTTTCATCACTATCCACCTAGCAGACGCCAGTGGCTTAGAAGTGTACCATTACACCAAGCTAAATTGAACCTCTTTCTTTGTCACAAGAAGCTCATGTTGCATTGTGCGTTATCGTAGTTACAAGAAAAGCGCAGGATACTTGTCCCAAGGCAGTCTCTCGGCCATTTTTTGGATCACCTCTCCGTTTAAGCGCCAGAAAAAATCCGTTGTGTTGATCGGACTCGTAGTAGTTGTATCCATCAGTGTGGTGAATTTCCTTCCAAATACAGGATGGGTTCTGAGTGTCCTTCAAAATAATATAACATAACATAACATTATTCCTTGTTAACGAAATGCAAATTGTAACAAACTGAACTCATGGAAACACCGACTGAATTCCTGAAAAGATAACTAGATAATCGGGTGTTAAAAACAATTTTTCCAACCAAAAAAGCAATTTACAAGAAAAAAAAGTGACAGATTCAAAACGAATGTACATTAAGCAGACATAAAAACGCATGAATATGACTAAGCGTTGAATGAAATTAACAGTGTAGGTCTTCAGTCCATTTCTAAATATCCTAGTAATTAAAGCAGAATGTAAAACGTGGCCTTCATATTTTCATCTGCAACAGAGTTTATGTTCGCAGGCCTAAAACATTTCGCGGGCCTAAAAATGTTTTAGGCCCAAGTAAGGGTCACTTTAAGCCGAGCCGTTCGGCGAGGATTAAAATGACTCTGAGAAGCGAACATAATCATTATTTTTATGTAGTATTATCACTTTGGAAGGCATGAAGAAAATAAAACCTGAAAAAAAAAGATTACATGTCAGTTTGAACAATCACGCGAGCGAGCAGGCGGGCAAAAATACATTTCAGCCCGCTAAAATCTCCACTTTAGCTCGCAAAATACGCCTCAATTCCTGACAAAGTGATAATAATAACATCTTGCGCCGTTTAGACTACTGAGATATTTTTAACTATTTAAAATGGTCGTATAATCTGGTCTTTTTTGTCCTTTGTTTATACAAAAGGAAATCATTTTGGTGATGTCAATCTTAATAAGTCACGCAAAGTGAATTGTTGACGACGTATTGCGTTTCGTGGAGTGTTTCTCCAGGAGGTCTGATTTCATCGAGACGGATTTATTCATTAGTATATTTAACTAGTCATGCCGATATTGTAACAACTCTAAGAGTATTACTGACATATGCTTAAATATCACGAAGTTTTTGATAAAATGTCTGGAAGGTCACCCAAAGCGCTTTCATGTGATTCTTTCATTTGGATTTATTGCGCTTCCCAAAGATAGAATTTGGATGTACAGGACTATTTAATCCATGTAAACCGCGAAGCACTTTTTTAAATGATTTTTTGAAAAAAAAAATTGAACTGATTATTTCTGTAGCCGAGAGCTCACCGTTGTGTATAAATTCCCTCGGTCATTCATCGCGAAGTAAGCATTGGATTGCAGTCCGCGAATGGTGACTTTGGCGAAATCTGTTGTTTTCATTTCAAAAACTAAGAAGGAAAAAAAAAAATTCATTTCCGATTAGAGGGTTCTTTTGTACCTGAAAGATGAAAGAATCTAATCATCTAATCAAAACGCATGTCTACATATTGGTTCACCGGTAACAACTTGGTAAATTGCAAAGACTTTTTAGTTGTCTTACCACAGTAATCGTCCTTTTCTCGCACTCCATGCACATTTCCCTGCTCGTCAATTTGAAGATAAAATCCCCATCTTGAAGTCAGTGACTTGTTACAAGAGATCATGGCAAATTAATCAATGTTCCTTAAAACTGAAGTACAACTCTGTTTAGTGTGGTTGGCTTAAGTATGACGAGTATTTTGACTGCTGGCGATGAACAGAATGAGTGGGTGTCTGCACTTATAAACCGCCAGCCGAAGGGATAGCAAAGTTCACGGAGGCTCTAAACTGAAATGAAAATTGATCAGATCAGCAAATAAAAATATGAACTTTTTTTTATCTCTCGACGGAATTGCTATTCTTATTTAACAGCACTTCGGTTTCGCAATTTTCTGTGTTAAAATTTTTTTATGTAAACTTTATAGCACAAAATCCAACATGTTCATCACATGATATTTGTTTAGCGTTATAGTTTTGATTGTCATTATCTATGAGTTCCCGTCTAGAGTGTTGGTTGACGGGACAGTTCGAATCTAACGAGGAAGATTTTTTTTTTGAGGCATTGCCTCAGACCAAATAAGGAAAATGAAACGCCGTTTAGGTTCAGTTTCTGCGTTCGTTCCTCAGAAAGGCGTCAGTTTTCTTCTGGGTTGGGTTTAACTTATTCAACCTAAACTGAAATCATTACTTTCACAGCGCAACTTTCGCCGATTTAGGTTTTGTTTTTTTTTCTTTCATTTGCATGGAAATGAAGTTCCTTTGCCTACATTCGTTATAATTTAAGGCTCATAGGTCCGTATAGCATGCATAGGCTAGAGTCACTCGCTACACCTCAATACATTGTCACGCTTTTCGCTGAGTTAATCTTGTTCGCTTCAGCGGTATTTCTTGTTTCGCTTGACTTCGTCAGGCTAACATCTAGTGTGCCTTGGCGAGATTTTACAAAATCAAGAGTTACAAACAAATAATAATTTTTTACAACTTCGAAAGCCTTTTAACATAAACCCTGTTCTTCAGTTATTTGGATTCAAAGATGGATACAAAGGAACGTTTGTTGAGGTACAATCCGTACTCAAATCGAGATGGTACTCCCCGTTTGATTTCGGAGACAACAACGAAAAATGTGATATAAGTCGACTTACAACTTTCAAGTAAGGGAGCGGCATCCCGTAAACACTGCATCAGTTTGGATATCGAGATTTAACGCTCAGTATAAGTCCAAAATATACTGGTTATCAGAAAACGATATTTAAACGTTCGTGTAGACATCAAGATACTACAAAGTTCTCTCTTGAAAGAGTGCATGACCTAAGGTTATATCCAATAGCCTCATAGGATATTACTCGATATAAAAAGAAAATACAAGAGTCAGGTTTTCATTGGTAAATCACTCGAAAACGAGTGATTTATGAAATGTATGAAAAGCTCAGTTCGAATGCGTCAACAGAGTACTGACTTCTCAGCGACAGTGGGGTGGTGTTGACGCAAAAAAATCAAGGAAATAGCAAACAAAGAAATTCCTCCTTCTTGTAATTTTATTGGAAAATTTCAATTACAAAACAAATTTTTATTTCCTTATGCTAAAATGCAGCTGTTCTTACATTTAGATTTTTTTATTTTTTTCGGCATGAGTAATTTTTTCTAATTCACTTATCTCTTCGACTTCCTTATTTTATAATCAAATATTACATTACACGTTTATAGCACTTTCATCATTTCTCGACATTGAAATGAAATAAAGGAGTCATACATTTCAATCACGGGAGAGATAGTTTAAGAAAATCACCATCTCACACTCATTTTCAAACGTTTACTGCTGTGACAGTTTCAATAATCGAAAACTGAGTCCCTGGTTTTGAATGCAGGCAGACATATCACTAATGCATGCATGCATGTGTGCATGCATAAATGAATCAGTTGACGTGAGTATGCATGATGAGAAGGATTTTATCATGTATTCCTGGGTGGATGGATGGTTAGATGGATGAATCATTTAGTCGATAGGATAATTCGTAATCTGTGAACTTTACAGCAATCTTTCCGAAGAGTCTATTACTGAGCAACTTCTTTCCTTTAGATAGATTTATCTTTTCAGTAGTTAGTAAGAAAAATTAAATTTTCGAAAGGAACATTTCATAATATAAAAGGCATAGCACTTTCCGCGTTGGTTTTTTTTCCTATCAATGGGTTTAAATTAGTTTCATTGCTGGTTTTTTAGTAATTCATGGTTACGACTTGCAGCTGTGAGGATAACTCTTTAGTGCATTGGTATAACTTAAACGTCCATAAAGTATTATTCGATGTTTTAGGGCGTGAAATTGCATATCATTTATTCTTCGGGGCGGGATTGAATTAAACCTCTCTTCCACTTCCTGACGAGTCATTGTCATCGGTTTTATTAAATACTTCATCAACTTTACAAATGACCACATCTCTCTTCACCTCAGACATCTTGCTTGGGACCTGGTAATTTATTCCAGCCAACTCAAACCGCGGTAAACACTGCGCCAACTCATTCATCAACGACGACAGCTCTGCGACCTTAAAACAACTGGTTAGCGGCTGCTTGAGGAGATTCCGAATATGGGCGTATTCACGCTTGTTGTCGTTGGACTTTTCACCAGAAGAGGTTTCAGCATTCTTCTCCAGTGTTTCGTAGATTTTGCAAATAACCAAGTCTCTTTTAATACCATCCAAATCTGATGGAATTTCATAACCATGCAGGGTGTTCCCCAAGTGACATTTCTCTAGGTCTGTTAAAAGTTCCTCTACTTTCCTTGGTCTCATTACAACAGTAAGTGGCGCTTTCAGTTCACTCCAGAGTTGCTGGAATGACGCTGACTTAAAGTTAGGTTCCATACCTTCGATGTGATGTGCAAGGGCTCGAGCAATTTCAGCCCTTACTCCACTGTGAACATTGCTTCCTCTTTTGTGGAGATAGCGCCTGTGTGGGACATCTCTCTCCTTTCTGCGTTTGATTTCGTGAGATGCATGCAAAAATGAGACGTACCCTAATTCCTCTTGAAATAACTTTACTTGCTGTAAACAAGAAAAACAGAACATCGAATCATATGTTAGTCATAAATATTTTAAAAATAATATAACTTACAAGCCCAACTCTTGCAAAGTCGTTGTATCACCGTTTCTTTTTCTGCAGTTTTTTTCCCCAAAGGTTTTCCCACATAACCACCACGAAAAAACAAATTATAGTAAAAAATAAACTAGGGCTAGCCATTTTTTATTTTTGTTTTTTTTTTTTTATTTTTAGCACTAAAAATGTTTCAAAAGCCAAATACTATGTTCATTTCGTGTATGTAAAGTTCACATTGGTACAAACCAAGAAAGGATAAAGTTTGCTCTCTGATGTGCCAACTGATTATCATGTAACTTTTGTGTGGATGGTCGAGTACTCAAGTATAATGAGAAGCAGAAGCAACTGGCCTTGTGAAATGTTCAGTGTGGCGTGTTCAGCAACAAACATCGTGGAACAAAGACAGCGGATGAGCTTTTCAACTTAATGCCAAGCCTTAAACATTGGTCTCATTTAATGTCTATAAAATATTTCATAGTATCATCACCGTACGTTTAGATTTGTAAGTCGATTAGATTTGTAAATTAAGTGAAAGGGTTTTTTCGCTTGTTACTTAATTTATTCCAAGTTATCGGTAGCACACCGGCAACAACCAGAAGAATTAAAAACAACCCTTTAGTCGCTTACTCTTCTTTGCCACTTCGCACAAAAATATCATATTTTTATGGCATAATCATAGTCGGACAATTCGAACTCAGGGATAGGAGGTGTTTACAGAATACAAGCTCCGCTGTGTAGATATAGTTCCTTTCGGGGTGAGAATAACGTGTTACGGATCAAGGAAATTTCGCTTACAGCGTTCAGTCTGAAAGTCTCGGCACAGTGGGAACTTAAAACAGCAAGTTTGGTCTGTTTCATTCCAACAACTACCCAGTTAGTTAAAAACAATCAACTGATCCTGAAAAAAGTAAAATAGAGCTTTCCTCACTCACCTCTTGCAGAGAGTTCTCGGTTTTCAATTTTCCGTGTTTTCGTACAAGCGAGTTTCGAATGTCTATAAGCTGGCAGTCGCTAAAATGTAATAAAGTCTGATTTGTGAGAAGAAATAAAGTGAAAACAAGGGACTTTTTTTTTGTCGTATTTTCTCTCATTTCGGCCTCTTGAGTGATCTTTGCAGCAAAATTCCACACATCAGGGCGACTTTGACTCTACAAACATCAGAGTTTAATCCTGGAATGTGCTAGTAATAATTTGCAAATAACACGTTGAAAAGCCACTTAATTATTCTACCTTGCAAGTCCCTTTCTTGTACCTGCTATCGGTCATTGACCCTTAAATCCAGCTTAGACCTCGTTCAACACGCCTAGTGACAAACAAGTAATTGAAAAGTCTTACAGCCGAGAGGGCGAAAACTCAAACCGGAACCGTTTGATTCATTTGGGATAATAGTTAAGTGTACTGTTTAAGGCAGGTCATTGAATCTATTAATGTATCACCTGTAATCAAAAATTAGTAATTTCGTTTTCTTTGTGTCGGTTTTTTTTCCATATGATGAATTACTTTTTTACCATAAACACACTTTGCGTCACTAAAGAATGGTAAGGAATCTTAGGTGTCGCGAGGATTAGTTAAACTGAGTGATCCTCGCCTGTAAAAATAAACTTACTAGTGCTGTCATTGCTACTTAAAATCTTCCTTGTTGGTTAGAAGTTTCTGTACTGATCACAGTAGCAAAACAACTTGTCTGGAATGACTTGAATAAGTCGAGCTTTTGCCTTTGTGACAGATATTTTCACCCAATGAACTGCCCTGTCATGCAATAAGAATGAACGAAGCAGATAATCTTCGCTCCAATGATCCATAAATGACAAAAATATTTTTCGTGGTTATTTTGAGTCACAATATTTTATTTAATGTATTTGAAATTTTTCGCAACTTTCGTTTAGTCAATTTTAGAGCTGTTCTTCGCTAAATTTTTGTCATCAGTGTTTACCTATATCATAAGTATTTATTTTGAGAAAACCACGCCCTAAATATCAATTTATCGTTACACACTGAATCATGTTTTTCAGAATTAATCCAGTTTGGCAAACTAAATCGTCAAATGGTCATTTCATGGCTACTCCTTCATGCTATCGACGAGAAAGAATTTGAAATGCTTTGAATTCCTTTCCACGCTCCACAACATAAAAAAGAGACAAATTTTAAAGGAGAACCATGAAAATATTTGAAAAGAGAGGAGCACCACGTTTGAGCCAACTTTCATGAACCCTGCATTCAGAGGTGAAATGATGCTTGTTATCAAGGTTTAAAACTGGTGAGTCCAATTTACAGAGGAAGTGATGCTTGAATTCATCCAACGCGCGTATGCATCTTTGGTGGACATGCGCCTATATCAGTAGAACCTTTCATAGTTCACTGGATCGTATTTGTCAGCTGTTACTACGCTCTGAAAGGAAAGGATACAGTTCCAGTAACAGCTTAGTGTTGCAAAGCAAAATTAGCTGATTTGGACAGGCCTCCCTTAATTATTCTAACCAGGCTCACTAATAAAAAATATCTCAGTATGTGCGGAGCAAAATGGCTCCAATTAACATCAAAACAACAACAACAACAATAATAGAAAACAATCCTACAGAAAAGTTAAAAAGTGAAGGTACTCTACCGAACTCCATGTAGAGTGAGCAGACTCACAAAGCAAAGCTGACAATAATAATAAAACTTTATTTTAAGTGTCAAACCATGTAGCTTGGGAGAAACTCATACTAATAAAGGTACGGACACAGACTAATATTGTAGTTGTTCAATTTTGCGCGAGTCATTGGATCTACAATCGTGTGTGTCCGATCGTCCTAAAGAGAACAGCCTTCAAATGGACTGTCAGCGGCAGCAACATGAGCAGAAGTCATTATTAGATTCAAAGAGACTACACATTGGGGCTCAGAGTCATCAAGTAGATGTAACGTGTGAATGGTTCACCTCTTAATGTAACTACAGCCTGATTATCTCGTTATTTTCTGATTGATAGACTAAACCCGGCGTCCAGTCCATGTGCCGTCTTTGATATTTTTTTGGAAATACTTTTGATAAAATCTTGTTGATCTTGGTTGTATGTCTCACTGTCCTTGCCAAAACCTCCCCTAAGCACGAAACACACAACTGATCAAACAATTCTGTATTGTCCTCATTATCTTCAGAATGTGTGATATGAGAAAAACATCTGATTAATCTGATTTCCTGTTTTAATCTACATTTATCAAATAACATAATCGTTAAATAACATTCCGATCTAAATCCTTTCCTTAATTCTTGTTCCCGAATCCGTGAAAACAGATGATAAGGAAAGAAAATTAATGTGGTCAACATATTAGCCGGAGCATGCGATTAAAATTTTTCTTTCGTTCTTAAGACGCTCTATCGTCGCTTAAGATGCTCTCACACAGGTGAGGAACTATCATAGTCGTGTCAAGTTATGGTGCCTACTTCATGAAGTCTTTTATCGTGTACAGAATCGTGAATCAGAATTTATTATTCTCTTTCCTCGAACCTTTCCTTTTCAAAATTTTATCATATCCTGATCCTCCAAGAGTTCATTTTATCTCGAGACAGAGACCATTTCTTCTGCTCCTGTACAACTTGATTAGACGCTGGAAGGCGACAACTGTAATTATATCTTTAACAAGTTTTAATTTCCTATTTATTAATTTCATTACTTTTATTCATGTCTAACATTATCTGAGAGTAAAACATGCACCTATATTGCGAGCTTTGTTCTCGATTGGCTACCTCTTGAGTACACAGTATAGAACAGCTTGCAGAGTGTTTCCCAAATGAATATCAATATCACGACCGTTTTGGAGTTTTTGTTTTGGAATGGGAGGACCTCAATATAGAGAAGCTTAGACAAAAGTGTTTGAAAGTGGTCCAAGTCAAAAGTATTTATGTATGAAACAAAGTCACCGTTTGCGTCCTGGTTCCCACCACTGCAATCTCTACCTCCCATCCCCCACCACTCATAAACCCAATGTTTATTAATTGACACGTACGAGGTGCTATCCACCATGGATGGTGAAACATTGAAATGGCAACTGATGGGGAAGGATTTTTAGAAATGCCATTTTTCTCCTGAAATCAGGGTGTCCCAAACGTACGATTTGAGGTCCGATTTGTCTTGCAATGTCGCCCACTTATAGTTACGAACACTGACTCTCTGAAAAAAAAATGGTGTCTCGACTATGTCTTGCTTCAAATATTCTACAATACGTATTCAGTCAAAATGGTTACATAAACCAGAATTCGCACTCTTTGTTTCATTGTATAAATCAAAATGAAACCTCTTGCATATCGTTGGTATTTTCAACGATGCGTTCAAGCAGTTGTATAACTCCTGATATATCGCGAAAACACCGATTTCTCTGTCGCCAGTAAGTTTAACCGTGCATGAAGTAACGTTCTGTCTTAATCGTAAAGCCAATTCCTCATGGAGGTCCAGCCAAAATTAAATTTTCATAGCGGCACAGATGAAAAACCGTTTAATTGATTGGAATAAATCAGTTTTAGCCGGAATGATGGACTGATTAATCAGAATCCTCAGATATTGAACTTGTTTGTCTTAGCCGGTTTAACGATGTTTTCTTAAATCACCTTGGACATGTTGTCGCTATGATATCAGCTAAGTTACCCTTACCGACTGTTATTTTTGTGCAATATCCAACTTAAGCAAAAAAAAAAAATTGAATAAAAAGTAAGCAAAGGTGTGGAACATTGAGGTTTGGATTAAATGAATGTAAAAGCTGAATTAAAGCATTTATATTAAGAAATTAGAGGTGGAATTTTAAATGTGACATCTGCCCTTTTCGTCCTGTTCCCTTCCATTCTGAGGATAAAAAAAAGATAAATTTTTTTCACCGGAGTTTTGCTCCAACTAGGTGGTCGAGTATGGGTAGAACCCAGTCTTCCACATCAGATAAGACGAGCAAATAGTTACGACTTTCAAAACACATTTACTTAACCGCTGTTTTTCATTAGCAGACCATTTCTCTCAGATTGCCGCTACATCTGTTCTATGACATTTTACACATCACTTACAATAACAGCTGACAAAAGCGGTCTTTAGTCACAGACAATTGCATCTAATACAATTTAAATCCTAATGTTACCTAATTTTTTTCGATGATCACAAAGACAAGCCGACAGAGAAATATGTGCGTTTTGACTCACGTACAGGCCCGTGAAAATGTTCTTTTGATAGAAAGGATCCTTTTTAAGGCCATCGATTGCTGCGGTAGAATAACGCCAAAATACTGACAATAAATCAAAGCTGAACACAGATGGTTGAAGACAGAGACTTCAAACAATTACGCTAATCGATTCAAGATGTGATGCTCTCCCCTTGCTGCCTTCACATCCTCTCCGGTGTTGTTCTTCCCTATCTCTCTAATTCTTTTTCACGGAACAAGGCAAGTCAGTGTGCTTGTAACTCAGTAAGGCTCGACAAGAAGGGGGCCTTAATCTGAGTTCAAGACACACTCTAAAGAACCTGAAAAGATCTGGAGATTACAACTGACGAATCCGACAACATGAAGGGGAACTCTTAACCGTAGTATTCGCGAGAAAACGCATTTCCCTTCCACTTTCGAAAACAGTTTCGTGTGAAAATGACGCGCACATCAGGAGCGCCATAATTTTGCGATAGGCAAAGGGCTTTTAAATTTCTTAATTGATTATTATTCTTTGCGCTTTTTCGAAGATCCATAGGTCTTCATATCTTTATATGTGGTAATTTCCGTGCTTTAAGACAAGTAAACCTGCTAAAATCCCTCCATTTTCCTGAATTAATGACTCTTTATGTGACTAATTAATTAAGACTTTTCCGGCGGCTTTTTATTACCTCAAAAAATTACTGTCAACGTGGACGTGGCTCATGCATAATATTGACAAGCCATGCTTTGATCTGAATGTTCTCTTCGTTTGTTCACTTCAGCAAAAAGAATCCAAAGATATATGCCCCATGTTGGTTTATCTCAGTCAACTGTTGACAAATCTTTTATTACAGATTTTCGGCTCAGGGGATGATCAATATTATCTTTGCCTCAACATGTGCAAAATCCATTTAAAAGATTTCTACATACTTTTGGCTTCTAAAAAGTTAGGTCAGGAGATAAAATTGAAAGACCCTTTATTCACAGCAATTTCATGGGTTGCAG